ACCCATTTAAGCCGTCTCCAGCCATTATAAATCTACCATCACTTCTCTCCGTAACTTCACACAGGCTTTTAAAACTAAATCTACCATCACTTCTCTCCGTAACTTCACACAGGCTTTAAAAACTATATCTATCATCACTTCTCTCCGTAACTTCACACAGGCTTTTAAAACTAAATCTACCATCACTTATCTCCGTAATTTCGCACAGGCTTTTAAAACTAAATTTACCACCATTTCTCTCCGTAACTTCACACAGGCTTTTAAAACTAAATCTACAATCACTTCTCACCGTAATTACACACAGGCTTTTAAAACTAAATCTATCATCACTTCTCTCCGTAACTTCACACAGGCTTTTACTATTTAGTTGTAAAAACCTGTGAGGAGTTGTCTAGAGAAATTATCGTAGATTTAGATGTCAAAATCTGTCTGAAGCTACGTAGAGAAATTATAGTAGATTTAGTTATAATCATTTCTCTAAGCAACTTCACACAGGATTTTACAGGAAAATCTAAAAACTTTCTTTTCAATAACTCCAAACAGGCTGTTACAGTTAAAAGCGTACAATCTCTCTTCTAAGTAACTCCAAATAAAGTTTTACAGTTAACAATATACAATTTATCACTTACCAAACTTTTACAGCTAGTCTATTATCTTTCTTCTGGATAATTCCAAACAGGCAGTTACAACTAAATTCTACAATCACTCCTCTGGATAACCTCAAACAGGTTCTTACAACTAAGATTTATAATCTTTCTTCTGGGTAACTCTAAGCATATTTTTACAGCTAAAGTCAGCAATCTCTCTCTCCTGAGTAACTCCAAATAAGCTTTCACCCATATCGTCTACAATCTTTCTTCTGGGTAACTCTAAGCATATTTTTACAGCTAAAGTCAGCAATCTCTCTCTCCTGAGTAACTCCAAATAAGCTTTCACCCATATCGTCTACAATCTTTCCTATGGGTAAGTTTAAACAGCTTTTTACAGCTAAAATCTACAATATTTTCTCTGCGTTCCAGTCCTTTTACCCTCGGTGACTCCAGACAACTATAGTCTCACTTTTGGAGTTTTCGCGATTTTTCTACTTCCCACTGTAAACTTTTCTTTTTTTGTAATTGTATGATTTTTGTTTTCTCCTCTGCATACTTTTTTTTTCCAATTTCTATATCTCGAAACACATCTACTACTCGCCTATTGAACTGATTACAAATAGTGAAGCCCACCAGTGGCACAGAGGTATGTCTGTGGACTTACAACGCTAGAAACCGGGTTTCAATACCATTGGTGGGCAGAGCACAGATAGCCCATTGTGTAGCTTTGTGCTTAATTACAAACAACAACAAATAGTGAAATGGTACACAAAAATGCAGAAAATGATCTGTCCCAATATTAGCCAGAGGGATATTAAAAATGGAAGTTTTCTCTTCCATACAGGAGGGTTTGCAGGTATGAGAATGTACTCATGATTACGTTAATTCTGGAAACAATTATGATGCACATTAACTCACAAGCATATATCTTATTTCAGAAAAACCATCACTTTTATAATCTATCCTGTAAAGTGACTTGTGTCTGTCTGTAACGAAAATTTTCGAACTTCCCAATCTCTGATCACCACGGATGTTTCAGGAGTTCTGGAGCGTTCCCCAAAGAAAATCCCCTACTGTATATATTTTGTGATTTCTATGGGTTTCATAAGCCATTTCAATTTCCTCTACGTACAGACGCCCTTCCGTGATCCTCTTTAAGGCAACGAATTAAATGTCCCCTCCTAGTGCTGGTACCTTTGCTATTATAATATAATGGATCAATAAAAATTCAGAATCATAGCTTTCACAATAGTCCTTATGAAGAAAGGAAATTAAAGTTACATTTTTAGCCGCGGCATAGCGGCTCATAGAATAGCTGAGCTTTTCAAGTACTAACGCTTAGCTCATAGCTCCGTCATCTCTTGACCGATTTAAGATTTAATTACAGTTTTGGACTCAAGAAGTCAAACTCTTTCGATTAATGCATTTGACCACGCCCAAAGTTTCATAGATTAATTTACTCTAATTCTGTCTAAAAGAATTTCAATTTGAGGGTAGATTTGTAGAGATCCTGAGGAGTAATAAAATCGAATCGGGTATACGCGCGCACCACCCTTGGTATTGCTGGCGCGCAAAAATATAGCTAATAAAAAGGTGGAAAAAAAGGTCTCAGATATATTTACTCTAATCCTGCCTAAAAGAATTTCAAGTGCCGCGGATATTGATGATTCCCTCTTTTTTAGTAGAATAATCGGTTGGGAAAGATATTTGATATTGATGCCACTGTTTGATGTATGTTCGTGCGTTTGTTTGTTTCAGAATTTTTTTGCGCTAAGCTACACAACCGTATCTAATTTTGAGTTGACAGACAAAAGGGAAGGAAGCTAGTCAACAGCACACACCGCCAACATTTGTCTAACCGAATGGTGGGATTTGACCGCCACTCTTATAACACATC